GATATATATATATATATATATATATATATATATATATATATATATATATATATATCATCTGCTGCTGTTGCTACTGCTGCTGCTCCTACTGCTGCTGCTGCTGCTGTTTTAAGACTTACTGCCGAGGCAGACCATTTCGATGGTGAGGAGCAAATAGGCCTGCATGAGACTGCAGAGAAAAAAAAAAGAAAAAAAAAACAAATTCATAAATAAATTACAAGTGGGGCTGGCGTTTACTTCTATACTCGTGTGCATACATGCATGCGTGCATTGGGTTTGTGTGTGTCGATGAGTACTGTTTTGTGTGTACAGTTTATTTGATTTATATTTCTTTTTGTTGAGGGTTTAGGGTTTAGGGTTTAGGGTTTTGTGTTTGTGGTTTGGTTTATATACACACAAAGCAGCAATACATACATATCTTGGGGTGTATGTACACTGCAGGTCCAGAAAAACAGACGAAATAATAAAAAAATAAAACAAAATAATAAAATAACACATCTTATATGTTTTTAATAAATAAATTAATTTAATTAATTAAATAGATAATTTATTTTATTTAATAATAATTATTTATTATTTTTTTATAAACTAAATTTATCTTAACATACGGAAAGCTGCTGAGGAAACAAACCACGAAGAGAGGGGCTAAAGCGAATGCCGTCCCCCTATACACCCCAAACAAACAGCCGCAGCAGCAGCAGCAGCAGCAACAGCAGCAGCAGTAACAGCAGCAGCAGCAGCTCGAAAAAAGAGTTACATGAGCAACAGCAGCAGCAACAGCAGCAGCAGCAAGGCCGGCAGCAGCAGCAAATGCCTACATATGCAACGAACGTAGCAGCAGATCAGAATGCAATTGCAGCAGCAGCAGCAGCAGCAGTTGCAGCAACAAACCCGCAGCAGCAGCAGCAGCAGTAGCAGCAGTATCATCATCAGCAGCAGCAGTAGCAGCAGCAGCAGCAGCAGCAGCAGCAGCAGCAGCAGACACACCAGAAACACAAACGAAGAAAAGTTTTTCTTAGCAGCGGCTGAGTTGCAGCGTCGGCGTTAAGCAGAGACAAAACCATCAGCAACACTGCAGCACCAGCACAAACCCTAAACCCTAAACCCTAAACCCTAAAACCCTAAACCCTAAACCCTAGAGGTCTGAGCTTAACACTGTACATCTCATAGGTGAAGGACTTAGGCTTAACGCCAAACACTTTTTAAACCCTAGCTGCTGCTGCTGCTGTTGCTGCTGCTGCTGTTGCTGCTGCTGCTGTTGCTGCTGCTGCTGTTGCCGCTGCTGTTGCTGCTGTTACTGACCTGCCGCGACGCCTGTAGTGATGTGGAGAAGCAAAGCCCAGACTGCAGCAGCGGCAGCAGCAGCAGCAGCAGGACCATAGACAGCAGCAGCGGCAGCAGCAGCACCAGCATAGACAGCAGCAGCAGCAGCAGAGACAGCAGCAACAGGTGCAGCAGGAGAAGCAATAAGCAGCAAAGGAAGAAGTATATATACAAACGAACAAAAGAGAAAAAAACAAAAACAAAAAAACAAAGATAAAGAGGAGGAA